AAATTATTTTGTTCAATTAGATATACTAGTTTTGACATCCTTTTAAGAAAAGAACATTTTTTATAAACTAATAAAAAAACCAGTTACAGCTGCTCATTCTCCAAGCAATGTTTAATGGTAAGCATGGATACGATAAATACATATTTTTAAAATTTCCTTCTTAGGCTTCATTTTTTCCCCCTTATATACTGCATGTTCCCCTGAAAGCAGCATTGTTAACAATTCGGAAAACAGCAGAAACAGCAAGGTAATGTTTTTAAAGTTTTGTTTTATATGGAAGTACAGAATAAAAGTACAAAGTAATAAAAAAAGGAACCAATACGATATTCATAAACATGGTTTTAATTGATACAATCTTCTCCAAATGTGGAGGTCTTACATTTATCAAACAATTCCTCTTTTCTTAGCTCTGAGATATTTGAAGAATATCAATTTATTTACTGTATTTTAGCATTTCTTCTAATTTTAGATTATAAGAGGAAAAATAAGTATAATAGAGCATATTAAAATGTGTTTTTTCTCTTCTTATTAAATAATATATTGTTGTATGTTGGTATTTTTTTTTATATATTAATGTTTTTAAATTGATGAAGTATTTTGTATATATCTCTTTGCTCTGTAAGCCCCTTGCCAAAGGGATTCTGAAACATTAGGGCTTTTACACAACAACAAAAATTACTGGAACCTGGAATATTTTTGTCCCTGTCCTCCTTTTTTTTAATCTCTATTTTTTTCAATATTTTAATTATTGAGTTGGTTATCATATTTGCAGATACAAAATTCATAAGTAATACCCTAGAAAACAAAGAAAAATTAAATTAAACAATATTAGAAGGTTGAAGAAATGGACTAAAAGTAACAATAACATTTAATAGAAACGTGTGAAGTTCTTCACTTAGATAACAAAAATCACATACTATGGAGGGTCTGAGAATAAGAAATATTTCATCTTTTGGTATTAAAAAATTAATTTTCTTCATTTTTATTGGTAACATTACTTGGATCGATATATATGCTGGGTGAGATCATCCGTCATCATGGGATGAGGTATCATCAGTATGCTGATGATACTCA